AAATTTTGACATGGAAGTCTTTACTTTGCACATGCTGTAATGAAATGGAAGGCAAAGTTGAATGGAAAATAAATAATTAATTTCTGAAAAAGGCTTCTTTTGTTAGACACAAAAGAGACACACTCATAGACATTGCCCCACAATAGATTACTAAAAATAATTATAATAACAAAAAAAAAAAATGATCATTTAAACTCCTCCTTGTTAACCCTTTAACTACCAAAAGCGATTAACATGTAATTCCTCGCTGAGATAATTATCCCTACATTGTCCAGGTAGAGACTACTCAAACGTATCAGTTAAAAATTATCATCTTGATCTAACACCAACCTCTTAATACAAACTCACATGGAAATGTACTGCAGCTACATGTAGAGCAGAGGCAAAAAAATCACCTTGAGAGTTAAGGTGTGGGAGACATGCTGGACTATATGTTAGTGGACTCCAGATTGAGTAGTTTGGATTTCGAGACCTGGCTGAGTCAATTTGCTGTTATCTTGGGAAAAGCACTTCACTCTCACAGTGTCTATCTCTGCCCAGGAGTGTAAATGAGTACAAGCATAGTGTCATAAAATGCTGGTGGAGGGAGGGGGGGGAGGGAGGATATATTGTGATGGACTAGCTTCCCATCCAGGGGGGAGTAGTAACACTCCTAATTGATTCATGATATCACTTCCTAATGATGTCAATATATATCAGTCTGGAATTTAATGCCAAACTTAACTGGCCTTATAAGAGTCATAATTTCAACTCAGAGTTATGCCATTAAACAGATGAAACATGTAACTGTGGATTTTCTTTACAGGACAAATCATCAAGCTCATTATCAGATGCTAGATTGGTAGTCACATCTCCAGGGTCAGCTTTCTCTTTTTCTTTCTTGGCATCCCATGAAATCCACCAAGATGCCCACACTGAATCAGCCACAAGAATTCCAAGATGAATTAAAATCAGTGGCAAGCTTAGCAAACCTTGTTCAGCTTGTGTAAATGGAAGAAAACCAGCTATTGTTACTGCAACTGCCAGGGATTTTTGACTGGCCATTATCACAACTGACTTGAGAACAGGTTTTTCCAGTTTCAAAAGAAAACATGGAAAAATGACGATGATGATAAAGAGAAGGTGCATTGCCAGGCCCCATCCAACAACAGCAAAAAGGCTTCCAACAGAGATCCCAGTGAAAGCTTTTTGTGCACTTGCTTGACTGACCTTCAGCCAGGGAATCATGGTTAATAGTATGATGCTGATCACTTTCAGTGTATTGGAGTATTTCTTAACACATGGCTTCACATGGGGTATGTATCTTAAAGCCTTGCCAACCTGTGTAGAGCAAAAAATTGAAAAGTTTATCTTAGCCTCGGCAGTGAAAGTCACCTTAAACTCCCAGGAGTTATCAAGACAGAAGTTCTCCTTACAATATCAATACAATATGAAGATAGATAGATAGATAGATAGTTTATTCACCTTAAAAAACTTGCAGCCAAGAGCTGAATTGCAATAAGGTTTACAAATGCAAAATTTCTAACTTACTAAATTACAACTAATTAGTTAATTTACTAGTTAAAAAATGTTACAGAATGACAAATTCACAAACGTGAATCGAATTCCCATGTAAAGTAAGAAACAAAATAATATCTAACTATCACCTACAATAACCGTAACTTAAAAGAAAACTATTCTTGCACCTTTCAGTTTTACACCTCGGACGAATAAAACAATGTTCTTTGTCCTCTCAGATAGTAGCCAGGTTGGTATTTGCTTGGAAGTAGTTTATGAAGACTGTGAGATTGATTTTCACATATTTCATTGAACATTGAAGTTGGCAAGTAGTGAGAATGAGGAAAAATATCAATTAGGCAGTTATTAGTCTGAACAAAAATGGAGTCTCTGAACAAAAATGATAAGAACTGTATGGCATACAGCAAGGAAAGTTACTAATTAATGAGATGTTGGAAGTGTGTGTGTGTGTGAAATGTTTGTCTGTGTGCAAAGATATAAACTAGCACATGCTGTGCTTTGGTCTTCACAAGCAAGATGAACCTTTCCTGCTTATTCCAGATTTACCACTTTTCTCCCCTAAAAAAACTCTCTTTTTCCAAAAGAAAATGTCACAAAACATGACATCTGTTCATCTTGCAGACATTAAAAGCNAGCACCAAGAATTTCACATAAATTCAAACAATTTTCTCCGCATTACCACACTTTTGCTTCTAACAATACCTACCAACAAGGGGAGAAGCACAGTCAGCAACAGTTTAATCAAAAGTTTAACAGGATCCAGCTGGACATCCTCAAAATTTATTATCCAGGCCACAAGAGGCGGAACAGTGAATACAGCTGCCAAATTACAAAACACTGTGAGCAGTACAGATAATGCTACAGCACCCCCAGCTTGAGCTGTCTGTTGAAGGAAAAAAACATAATCTAAAACTTGAACACTTAACCTTAATCAGTATCTTGATCCTAATTTTGTTTTGGAAACTCTTTGTTGATAACTTATAAAGCAAGTAACTGCCTCCAGTGAGACAATTGCTTCCCAGCCTACTGGTACTTTAATTGGTGAAAACAGTCAGCATATCAAACTTACAAATGTGGGGCGGTTGCATTTCAAACATGGAGTAAATTTTGGCTTATTTGTTTCATATGCACTTCACAAAACGTTTCTCATGTTGATTCCATGTTGAACATTTGTTAATCACATGTTGATCACATGTTTATTCTGGTGGTGTTTATGTCACTCTATTATTCACTCAGTCCAAGTTAGATAAAAGACACTTTTTAACTCAATTCTAGACAGCTCAAGAGTTACTGCTTTGGATTTTCAGATAAAATGAGGTCTCCTTGTATTTCATTATTTTGCTGTTTTCCTGTTTAAGAGGTTTCTGAAGGAAAAATGCCGGTTAATGCATTATGGTTTCTTTCTTGTAAATAAGAACAATATCCTTTGGAAGCTTTTAGCCCAATTTCTATATAGATCTATAAAGGTGGACATGTTCTCCTAGCCCAAAAAAGAGGTTCCATTTTTCATCCCCACCCCATAAAGGTTTTAGGAATACAAAAACTCGATGCTTTCGTCATGCACCCCTTCAAAAATTGGAAATTAACAGGTAAAGGTAAAGTCTGTATTCAAGCCAAATGGCCAACCCCAGCTGAATCTTAATCCTGTTGGCAAGATTTCCATATAACCCCATACATCAATTATGCATAGAGTGTTGCAAAGAAACCTTTATATTTAGTCTTGATGAAATGGAATGCATAATTGATATATGGGGTTATATGGAAATCTTTCCATCCTGTTTCCTAAGCATGAAGTTACAAGGAGTAACTGGATGGGATGCTAGTCCATTGCAAGGTTACCCTCCTCCTTCCAGCATTTCATCAGACAATTTGCCTGTACCATTTATAATCCTGTTTTGCCCGAGAACCCAACACATTTACCCCGCCAGGTCTCGAAACCAGACCTCTTGATTAGTCTAATTGATCATTGTCATCTTTGACAAAATGTTGGATCAGGGTCAGATTTTTCAGCTTTTTTAAATCACAATCTCCTTGAGAAAAAAAAAAAATAATAATAATAACTACCCCGCTATTCTGCAGCTGGGTTCCATAAAAATTCCCTATCACTTCATGGCAGATGTTTTTAACTCACCAAGATTACACCGGCCGAGATCGTACACGGCACAATGAAATAAATCTGCATTCCTATTTGAAACAACACTGGACCAAGTATTGAACTACCCACTGAGTGTTTCTCAGTGGATGAAGAACTTCAATTCGAAGAATTATTTTCATTCACGTCAAAGCCGTTTGTCGTGGCATGGCCTTTTGTGACAGTGTACGGCAACAATCCAGTTAAATGTCCGCCAATAATCGGCGTAATCAGCAAAATACAAATAACACCCCAGATCATAGCCTTGAACGCTTTAAAAGCGTCTTTCACTTCTCCTGTTTTAAGTTTGAGTCCACTGTGAAGAAAGAGTCCAACGACGCAGACATAGTGGGTTGGTAGTTCGCTGAAGAAGACGCCGGGTTCTGGAGCCAAAATTCCTAGAGCTACGAAAAAAACTAAGCTGATGGACAAAAAGTTCTTAAAAACTACTGCCTTCACCCTATTAAATAACGTTGGTCGCTTTTCCGGTATTTCCTCGGGAGAGCCTTCATTCTCAGGGTTTTCCACCGCCGCCATTGTCGGATTTGTTCCGATATGACGCAAAATCAACGCGCTTATGAACGTCATCAAGAAAACGAAAGCGTGACTCTTATTTGCGTGACGCACGACGTATGCACGCAACAACTGAACCATTAACTTTTTGAACCTAAACTATGGGTGCTAAGGTATAATGTCGCGTTCCCGATGCCGCAGACACGTGGTGTTGTGCACCGGAGTTCGCCAGTATAGCCACAGTGTTGAACGTACGAAAACGAAGACCCTGCATTAGCCAAAAGAATTGCTTACTTTTTAACGAGAATTTTCCAGCAGAGAAAGCTCAACGACCGTCAGAATCTATTTTAGGTACGAAATACAGTAGAAATTGATTATTTATCGACAGAACCCAAGAGTAATTTTTCCCGTACAGAACGCCTTCTCTGTTATTCTGTCACGCAATGCTAACTATAAATCAAAGGCGGCTAGCGTTCGAATTCTGCCTGCTGTTCCAGAATAATAATATGTGTTGTAAGTTTACCTGGGGAAACCCTCGAGAATATCAACACCAAATTGGCACGCATAGCGAAACAGAACAGACAAGACGGGCAGTATAATAATACGNATGTGTGTATAAGTTGCAATTTCTACGGTTTTCTGTTTACAGGGTCTTTGTTTTCGTACTACGAAAACGAAGACCGGGGGTTTTCGTTTTCGTAGTACGAAAACGAAGACCGGTCTTACGTCTTTGTTTTCGTAACACCCCCACACGGGATCGTGCGAGGAGGCCGTTGGGGTCAATATCCAAGCAAACACTCGAAGACATATGTGTTATTGACCAAGCGTGAGGTCAACATGGCAGGATATCAGCCGAGGTCTTTTCTGCGTTCTTTTTTTTGCGCGGGATTGAAGCGGGCAATCACACGTGATTCGCTTCATTTTACCCATGGGTACTGCCAGCGGTATGATAATAGATATTATTCGGCTGTACTTGCCGGTTCCAAATAATGTACAAAAACTCGAAATACTGCTGAAAGCTTTTCAAAAAAGAATGTGTAGTCATGAGTCACGCAATACACGAACAGCTCACGTGATTTTTAGCGCATTACAAAATCACATTCTATTTACGCTCACCCAAGGGTCATGTGTCATAGAGTAATCATGAGTCACGCAATACACGAGCAGTTCATGTGATTTTTTTAGTGCATTTGAAAGTCACTTTCTATTTACACCCCACCTAAGGGTCATGTTCATGATCGTTTTGGTCAATAATTTTGACATTAAAACGAAGCTTGATGTTTTAAAAGTATTATGGGCATTTTAAAATATCTTTTATTTACCCTTAAAAAAAACTTAATTGATCCAGTTTTGTTTCTGTAACTCGTTTATCTGTTTGCCATTGGTCAATAAAGAACGAAATTTATTCAATTTTTAAGTAATTTGTGATAAAAATAATCCTTGGGTTTCATCCACGTGACCAATACCTTAGCAACGGTTACTATCCGCCATCTTGGTGTACCTCGAGCGTAAACAAACCGTA